CCAACTGCCATCAAGTCAATTCTGACTCATAATGACTCTAGAGTTTGTGAGGCTGGACATCTTCAGGCGAGCAGTCTCGTCTTTCTCCTGTGGAGTGGCTGGTGGTTTTGAACTGTTCACCTTGAGGTTAGTAGTTCGATGCTTGTCTCAGGGGACCACCAGGGCTCCAAATGTATGTTGAGGTACCTCCTATACCTAGTGGAAGTAGCCCTGGTGGCACAGCGTATAAGCCCTGGGCTGCTAGTAGTCAGGCTAGCAGTTTGAACTCACTTAGCCACTGTGGGAGAAAAATGTGGCAGTCTGCTTCCCGAACAATTAAATCTTTCACTGTTACCAAGTCGATTCTGACTCACAACGATCCTACAGGGCAGAGTCGGGCTGTCCTCTGGAGCAATTCTACTTTGTCCTATGGGGTCACTATGCGCTCACACTGACCTGGGGGCACTGGGCTTGGGTGATACCTGGAGGAGGAGCAGCCTATGGAGCAGCTCCACTCCGGGAGTAGAGGACGGTGTGGCTGCCCCCTGGAGCAGTTCGGCTTTGTCCGGTAGGGTCACTGTGGGTTGGAATGAACTCAATGGCAATAGGTTTGGATTGTGCCTGGTAGAGAAGTGGTCAGAGCCCTCCTTCCCTTCTCTCCTTCTACCTCAAATCAAAGTCTCAGCACTTTCAAGTGTCTTCCCCTCCCCGTTCATGTGATCTCCCATTGGACTGCAGTTCCAGAAGGACAGAAGCCCTCAGAAGAGTTGACTGTTTTTAGACTATAGCCAGACCTAGACAGGGCAAAGGGTTCTAAGTTCACATGAGTTTTCCCACCTTGCACAGTTAGCTCAATGACAATCTCATCAATTTCCTTGGGGTCATTTCGAGCAACGACCTCACAGCGATAAAGGGCCGAGTCTTTCCGTGTCGCGTTCCAAATCCTCAGGGACGTTTTCCCCAACAATTCTGCACGGCCTGCCAAGTCTCCTACAGAGGAAAAGACAGGGGCCGCAAAAGACTTTTTAAAGATAATCTTCGCTACTGGAAGAGGGTGGTTTCTGGGACCAGCTTTGGATGTCATTGAACAAAGAGTGTATACTGGTTCCTCTTTCTATGTCTACACAACAGAGGTGAATTTCCTCCGGCCAGGAACCATGTCTTATTCCCATTTATAATGTGAGTGCCAAATGGCACGCATCTGGTCTGCGAGAGACACTCATGATACACCGTGTCTCTTTCATTAAGCCCAGGAAATTAATTTCCTCTTCATTGCTCCATGGGAAATTGTCCATTTAAAAAGAAACCAAAGCAAATGACATAGAAAACAATTCAACAAATGGAGCAGGTTATTCACATGCAAAACAATGAAAGTGGACCCCAACCACACATGACCTACAGCAAAGACTGCGGACAAGAGCTAGAGCCATAGACCCTAAGACACGGGGTAATCTTCATGACGGTAGCTTACAAAGAGGTTCTTAGACATGACACCAATAGCACAGGCAACGCAAGAGACACTGTAGGCTTCGTCAAAATTCAGAACGTGTGTGTTAAAGACTGGAAGAAGCTATTTTAAGTGATCTCTTTGACCAAGGTACCCAAAATATATCAACAGCAAATAAATAACTTCACTTAAAAATAGATATGTCTCCAAGGAGACATGGTCAATAAAAACATGAAAAGATGTTCAACGTCATTAATAATTAGAGGAGTACAAATTAAAATCAGTGAGCTGCCACTTCACCCCCACTAGGATGGCAGCAATAATCGGGCAACAGCACATGTTCATGAGGCTGTGGATAAGTACATTGCTATTGGAGACTGTCAATATTGGGCCTGAAGTTTGGGGAAGCAGCTTGTTGATAGTTGCAGGTGCCATTCAGTTGGGTCTGATACAGCTTGGCAGTTCCCCCAGTGATTTAACATAGAAAATTACCTGACGAAGCAGCTCTGCTTATATCTATATACCCAGGAGAAACAAAATCAAAGGTCCACATTAAAACCTATACATGAATGGTCAAAGCACCTATATTCAATATAGCCCCAGAGTAAAACCAACCCACATGTCTATCTACTGATGAACAGATACCCCAAATGTGGCCTACCCATGGAATGGCATATTAGGCAGCCATAAAAAGGAATGGAATTCTGAAACATGTTACGACACAGATGAACCTTAAAAACACTCCACTGAGTGAAAGCAGTCAGTCATTAGAGAGCACACATGGTATGGTTTCATTTCTATGCAGTAACCGGAACAGGCAAACCTCACCCAGGGTGCAGAATAAAGAGGAACGATCATTAATGGGCATGGGTGATTATGTTCTTGAGTGATAAAAATGCTCTGATATTTGAAAGTGGTAATGGCTAGGATGTTTTTGTGAATATATATATAAAACTGAATTGTATATGTACTTTAGAAAATTTTATTTATGTGAATTCTGCCTTCAAACATGTTTTATAAACATAAAAAGACACCCTTTCAAAAAAGCATAAAGAGCCGAAAGGT